TTGGGATTCGGGAGGAGAGAGAGGGTGGGGTGATTGGGAGGTTCCATGACACCCACATCTTTTCATACTTCTTTTTAAAAGTTCTATATGCCCTATACGCTTTGATTCAGTCATTAAGAAATAAACCACTTCGTAGATTAAGGGCTGATGAAGAAATAAAGGGGCCTTTTTTTTCTTTTTAAAAAGTTTTATAGATCTATCTCTAACTATATCTATTTAATAATACATTTATTTGTAGATCTAGTTGTAGAAAGAACGCTGTATTATTGCTATTTAGAAACCTAGATAGCACGCCACGGCGCCCATGTAAAAAAAAAATTAACAAGGACCAAGCCTCGCCTATCGCGTATGAGGGAGAAAGAAAACATGCCTAGCCCATTGCTTTGGCTTGAACTCCTTCACGCATCTCGCCCACTGAAACATGGCGGACGCCGCTGTCAAATGTGGCCATCGCACAGTAAGGCGAGAGAGGGGCGTATTGTATCTAGTTACTATAGTGTACATCTATGGATGTATCTGATTTGCCCTGACATACGTATCCACAAAAAAGACCCCCCCCCAAAAAAAAAAAAACACACCAAAAAACCAAAAAAACAAACAAAACAAAACAAAAAACCAAAAAAGCAACCAAAGGTGTACTTGAGGTCTCCTTTCGGAAGTTGACTTAGTCCTAGATTTTAAGTCTTCATCATTTATGTCCGCATATCTGGAGTCTCCATGCTTCTCTTTGCATTTGTGTAGCCGACGGGTGGTAGCCAAGATTTAATTGCACGAACAACGATTATCATCTTAGATCTAACTTATTTTAATTTAAGTTGACCTAAACCATTATTAATTGTGACTATTTTGCAGTTACCATTACAATACAGGTGTTTCATAGTGCTTTGCTCTTAGTTTTTCAAACAGGCCTAAAATCTGCTAAAATGAAGACGAGTGCAAAGAGTTATAGGCCTCTTAGGGAAAGTTTGAAAAGTTATAGAATAAAGAATAAACACACACACACACACACACATACACACACACACACACACACACACACACACATAGTCACACACTCACACACACAAACCCACACAAAAAACGGTATTTATCTTTAGAATGATCACTAATATCGAACAAATTCAAATGTAAATAGATACTTTTTACAAGACACTTTCCATTGGCTGTAAAAGCTCTGAAAAATCACCACGAACAACGAATTATTATATACTATATAGGCCTAGATCGAATCTAGATCTAGATATATGTCATAAAACCGCTTAGACCTAGATCTAGATCTATAATATACGCCCTGGTATGAGATTTAAACAACAGAACTGCGACCACTTATTTTTCACCCAGAGCTCTAGAGCACCTTTCTTCACCGGTGAGTCCTCCTTTTTAACCTGTTTGGTACCACTGACGTCAGCAATTTCTCCAGTTAGCCTAATTTTTTTCTGTGAAGTCATTCGACATTGAATCTGAACTGTGTCGATAAACATTATTTTCAGCACTTTGCCTCCGCCCTTGGCCTTCTCAGTCCCTAGCCCCCGCCCTTTGATTGGTCGATTGTGGGATTTGAGCTTTTGGGATCACAAACATAAGCGACAAACGTACATGGGCAAAAATTAAAGCCCCTTTCTCTAGGCCTATCCGTTTTGTAAAGCAATACATCTTATAGTTTGAAAGACAAGGGACTTAAATTTACCCCCCCCCCCCCCCCGCCGTCCCACCTCCATTTATCTTCTTTGAGGATTTTCTGCTCTCTTGCAACAACCTAGATTAGTAAACACGTACATATTATATTTAGCGCACGACTTATGTTTTATGACTCTCCTCGCCGGAGAAACAATCATTATTTTTATTCTGGTCCACAGAATTCTACACTAAGTGTAGACAGAGAGTATCTCTGGCCTCTGGTGTAGCCTAGATTAGAATTCTGTGTTCTGGTCAAGGTCGTACTCGCTTTTGTTCGCTCTTGATTGGATAAGAGTGGAGGTGTGTACTGTGATGTGCTGTGTACTGGCTTGCCTCCACCGTTCCACTCGTGTTGTTCCTCGACAGCAGTCAGCAGTCGTGAGCCTGGTGTGTTGCCGCTGACTGTGTTCTCACTCCTGTGCTGAAGTATTCCGTGACTACGAACATTGTAGGGAATCTGGGTTGCTGTCGTTTGAACCGGAAAGTTTTAGTCCTGTGACCAAAGAGCAGATCAAACAAAAGTCTAGGCTAGATCAAGAATCTAGTTCTACCCAACTGAACATTCAGTTCCCGGGACACGAGGCAAGGCGAGGTCACAGAATTGTCAGAATTCAGCAACCTCGGTCACTCACTCACCGGCTGTGCCTGCAATTTAGATCTCTAGATCTAGGTTCTTGACTCTGGAACTATAAAAATAATTTATATAGGTCTATTTGTTGAGTTTTGTTTGACTCGTGCTCTTGAGAATCTGGTACATTAGACCAAAGACATAATCTGTGCTCATCGTCAAAGGCTCCTGCACAGCATCATGTCTCACTTGCTGAAGAAGTTGGCTCCATCCTCCCACAGGTAAGCTATGAAATGTCGGTACATTTTTTACTTTCACTGCTAGATCCTGTGCGGGGAGCACAGCTTTAGTGGTCTTAACGCCGTATTTTTTAAAACACAGTGATTATTCTCACCCGGGGTGAGGATAAACTGGATATGGGTGAGAATAAAATTTCATACTATTCTCACCCTGGGTGAGAATAACGACAGCCTACTATTCTCACCTGTTTTTTTTGTTTCGGGCATCATAGGACCCCTGTCACTGAGCGCTCCAGGAGACAAAACTCGCCTCCCTCCCTCTCTCACTCCGCTGAGCACGAGAGTTGACTAAAATCGAGAACGGGCGGGCCAGCTCTCAGGCGCGGGAGGCGACTATTGTTGATTTGGGGGAAAAACCTTATCTTTTGACCAAATAGCGTCACCTTTTGGTGCTACAGTATTAATTTATTGGTTCTGTAACGGAAAATTTTACTCTTGAATGGTTTAACCAATCAAAATAAAGAAAAAAGTAAGCCTAGGGTCAAGGCACTGCGTTCCTTAAAAATAATCGTGAGTTCTACTAGGGATAACAATTAAACATGTTTTTTTTGTGTTGTAAACAAAAATGCCTATTCTAACTTTACAAATGACAATCTATTACTGGATCTATTATTTCATTAAACCAAACAGCTTTCAGTTAAGGCTATTATTTTTAAAAACATACTACTCTGGCAAGTGAATTCCTTTCTGAATTTAGAATATATATGCATTTGTCTAGGGTTTTGGTGAAGACATGCGTGCCTACTCTCAACTTAAGATTTTAAAAAAAATGAAACAATAACAATCCCCGCGGGAGCCTAGAAAAATCGGCCAGCGCTCTAGGGCAGGTCACGAACGGTCACTCTTTTACAATTCACAAATTATTTTCTATCATCCGTTCTCAACACCCAGGTAGACCTAAAAATCCATTGCATTCTCAGACCGGGTGAGAATAATGTTCATTTTATTCTCACCCGGGGTGAGAATAACAATATAATATTATTCTCACCTCGGGTGAGAATAAAATGGATATTATTCTCACCCTGGGTGAGAATAACATTATATTTTATTTTCACCCCGGGTGAGAATAACGACAGCCTTTTTAAAATGTACAATATACTTAAACGTGCAAATCCATTTTAAAAAAGAGTATAGTATCTTAAAATCTGTTTTGCAAGGCATCAAAATGCAGTGGAGTGGGTGGGTGTTCCCTCTGAACCCCTCCCCTCTCAGATAAAAAAAAGGCCTTTTTGGGCGGCACTATTTCTCTGAACGTTCGGGAAAATAAAGTTGGGCACTATTTCTCTGATCGTTCTGGAAAATAAAGTTGGGCACTATTTCTCTGAACGTTCGGGAAAATAAAATTAGGCACTATTTCTCTGAACGTTCGGGAAAATGAAGCTGGGCACTATTTCTCCGAACACTCTGAAATCACATCCTTTCCCGCAAATATAGGCCTTCCAAAGATTGTTCGTATACAATATGGTTTAATCGGTCCAAAAAATGTCCGCAGTCAATATTTTTATATAAAGAAATGCTACAGTTCCAAACAGTTTTTCGCTACAGATGTGTTGCCTATTAGATGAAGGGTGCTTCTCTTAAACTTAATGTGTTGTGTTCACTAGTGTGCTGTCTAGATCTAGGTCTATGGAGGGACGACACATAGAACTAGCATCTGCGTTTGTCGCGGCCGCGACCGATCAATCGTGGCTCGATTTTTTGGCATTTTTTGTTGAATAAAAAAAAAAGAAACTGAACCTCTTTACTTTTGAAAAAAAGTTCCCTTAGCTTCGCTTGGTCTCTTTCTCACTTGTTGTCACCTCGTTGATTTGTTGAATACGTTACAGTTACATACGATTTGTATTGCTGTTCCTCTTTTATTTTTCCCTCTTTGTGGTGTTTTATTTTGTTGGTGTGTAATTTTTTTTCTTGTTATTGTTCTGATGTGTTGTTTTTCTATGAATTTTTTGTTGTTGGGGAAAAGGGGGAGGGGGGGGGGAATGTTGTATAGTGTAACATCGTTTAATTTGATGTTCCTACCTTCATTAGATTCTAAATATACATATATATATATATATATATATATATAGATTTAAATGTGTTATGTTACAGCGTTCCACCAAAATAGATTACATGTACTGACACTGGCAGGCCCCTTGTGTGTGATTCCATAATTTACATGTAATATCCTGTACTTTAAAAAAAAATTACGCACATTTAGGGTTAAAACAGCCAATCTTCTTCGGACAGGTGGACACACGCCCTTATTTGTTAGTTTTTGTGGTTATTTATGGGCTGTTTTAATTTTGATTTCATTCTGTTGTGAAACCTTTCTTTTTCACGCTTTTACCCTCATCTAAAAATCTCTAGACTAACTCTTGAAAATTGAAATATATCTAGACCCAAAAATTTTCTCCTTCCCAGACCTTGCAGAATGGCAGAATGAAAGTTGGCGCCGAACTCTCGCAAATAGGAAAAAAGTCACGAGACCGGAAACCGCTCGGAGAAATAAAGATCTTCAATATTTCTCCGAACGTTCAGAGAAATAGTTGCTTCGTAAAAAAAAACCTCAACAATTGTTCGACATATTGCTAGACATTTAGATCTAGGCCTAATGTGTCATACATACAGCCTAGGCTAGGCCTAATTTGAATCATCATCATCTGTGACAGACATCTGCGACAGACATCTGCGATCATGGTTCTCCATTCTTCATTCCTTTGCTTAGATGCTCTTAAAAAAAAGTTACATTACCCTGATCTTTCTCCAGTTATCCATCTGTTTAGGTTCTCCTGTATTCATTTACTTTCATTCCTGTCTCAAGCTCAGATTTTGTAAAGACCTGATATTTTAAAGTTTTACGTGAATATTGTTACGAAGTGACTATTTCTTCAAACTTTCAGGAAAATAAACTTGAACTCTATTTCTCCAAATGGTTTCCGTTCTCGAGATTTTTTGGTTATTTGAGAGATTTCAGCGTCAACTTTCATTCTGCCATTCTGCGAGGACTCGGGGGAGGCATTAAAATTTTGCATCGAATTCAATTTCTTGAGCTAGAGATTTTTAAATGTCTGAATATTCAGATACTTCAATTTTGGTTGGGGCAACGTTAGCGGACTATAGGCCTACTTCATTCGAAAAGCCCTTCAAAAGGTACTGCGATAAAACTAGATAGTTTGACTTTGGCAGTACCCTATTTTGCATCTAGTCACCCCTAAAGCAAAAACTAAAATCCTTCATATAAACAAAAAAGATTTTCTCCGCGTTATAGACCTTTTTGGTATTCTGTTGTTTCTGGGGTATGTTTCTATGTATGTCTCTCTTTATTTTGTTCATATAAGCCATTTGTTGACTGCTCTTTTCCTTTGGGTTTTGAGAATGACAACATAAATGACAGATCATGTTGTCTCTGCAGTGGAGCCCAGCTGAACTTGAGGGAAATGCAGTCAATTGTAATGTAAAATTACTTCGTGTCATGATGTGGGGGGGGGGGGGGGGGGGGGGGGGGGATATAGATTTACCTAAAAATCTTTCCCAATTTTTTATAACTTAAGTTGAAAGCTCAGCAGCAATCAAATTTATATGTGGGTGGTTGGCAGGTGCTCTGGTGTGGTTTGCTCCTTTTTTCCTATCAAACAACTATCTTCCTTATCTCCCCTCCTTCTTTTTTATGTCTGTTACTCTCTTGTAACACTTCTAATCTTCGGCACTTATATGATCTTATTGTGTTGCAAGTGCCGTAAAACGCAAACTAAAATAAAATAAAAGTAGCTTAAGCGCCAGAGCCCTGTCTACTGGTTTTGATGTCAGATACAGGCTGAATGGTAAAGTCTTAGTCTTAAAAAAATTGTTGATCTTTTAAGAAAATTTATGTAGCAACTTTGGACTGGGTGGTTGGAGCGTGCTCTGGTGTGGTTTGCTCCTTCTATCATATCAAACATCTATCGTTCTTATCTCTCCTCCTCCTTTTTTGTGTTTGTTACTCCCTTGTAACACTTCTAATCTTCTGGCGCTCATATGACCTTATGCAGTTGCGAGCGCCTTAAAACCTCTACAAAAACAAACATCTAATCTTCAGCTCTTATATATGAACTTATTGTGTTGTAAGTGCCGCAAAACTCTTACAACCCCCCCCCCAAAAAAAAAACAACAAAAACCAACAACTTTGAACTGTGTTGTACGGTGCTGAGACCTTGATGGTGTACAAAAGCCATGCCAAGCAGCTTAATAATTTCCACATGAAATCCTTCAGGAGAATTGTTGGCATCAAATGTCAAGACAAAATACCAGGCTTGGAAGTCTCAAGAAGGCAAATGTTGGGAGTCTTGTTTTCTAAGCTCAAAAGGATTCAATTTCGTTGGGCTGGCTATGCCGTGAGAATGCCAGATTTCAGAACCCCAAAGTCAGCATTTGATTCTGAATAGTCCTCCCGGAAGGGCAAAATTGGCGCACCAAGAAAGTACAACAAAGACGCCCTGAAAATGTTCCTGAAGGACTTCGACATAAATCCTTCGATATCAAGTGCATCATGTCTTGTCTTTGGTCACTGGGTACCATGAGAATGGCAACAGATATTTTTAAAATCATTTCAATAATAAAAGTCGAATATTCATGTTCTTTACCATGTTCTGTATTTTACAAGTGCTGAACTTATATGTTCTTTTATCCACTCTTTTCTCTTGGATTGCAAGTATTGTATCCCAAAGTCATCCCAACTTTAGTTAAGTTGCACATTAAATTCGAAATATGCGAATCCTATTCCAAATGCCGAAGTCATGAATTGAATTTATGCAGCCTCATGAATGCTTTGACCTTTGTCTTATACAATAAGCGGACATGTTGTCAGGACTATTGAATAATAGTATGTTTGTCAACTTGTGTGCTCTGACGACCCTTTTGCCTTTGTGGTCCGCATTGGGACTTATTTAAAGTAAGATTGGTGTTTTTAGGTTTCTAGTTTAAGGAAAAAAGAAAGACAGAAAAAAAGGAATCGTTGAAAATAA